AACATATATAATGATTTATGTATTTAAATTAATATAAATTTGTAATATTTCATAATGAAATTTGGCCTGAGTTGTTACAACAGAAGCAAAGACGTGTCCGCACAAGTTGTGCCAAAATCACACACACACACACACACACACACACACACACACACACACACACACACACACACACACACACACACACACACACACCTTCCCCTAATATCTTCTTTGTTAGGTGCCTTCTCTTATTTGTGTGTAAAAGTAAAAAATGGGAATAATAAAGGGACACTGACATTCACCTGCGAAATGTCACAAAGTGGGAGTTTAACAAGCGATGTTCTCTATCTTAAGTGTTTCAATGAAACTAAAAAGTTTCAATAACTGCGGCTAAGCAGCTGAAGAATGTCTGCCAGTGTTTTGATGAAGATACGAGTGGACTGTGGTCCTCTGAGGTGCCGTGACTGTGGACGGCTGCGATCCAACAGAGGTTAATGAAGGACACCCCCCCCCACACACACACGCACACAGAGAGCTCTTTTATAGTACATCGGGCAGCAGGTGCACTTTTATATTTGTATTTGTCTGTTGACCGCCGTCTAATGGCCGCCCCGGAGCAAAGAGGATGAGTGAGGAGACACAGAAATGATGGAGATAAGAGCCAGAGAGCAGTCCTCACGGCCCTGCCACAATGAGAGACTATACCGTTGTACCTCACTACATACTCAGCGGGACAGTGTTTCCATTGTCTGGCAGCTGCTCTTGACATCAAGAGCCGATCCATTGCATCACTCGGTTCAGTGTACTTCTGCGAGCACCAAGCTCAAACAAGTCCTCGACCTGTAAGAGGCTGAATACAACAGAACGCTGGGCAGAAATGTGCAGGATGTGGAATCATGGTGAAGGATGCATCATGTGAGAGATATCAGAGATAAGAAGCAATCCTGAAGATGATTGGAAATGAAATATGCAACATCGCAGCACTTCAAACTGACTGCTGAGCCAGACTACTCTGATCCACTGAACATGAATAATAATAATTCATTAGCATCAACGTAAAGCACTCGGAGTCAAGAGCAAAAGGCTGTACTGCTTCATGATTCATCTTCTTGTGATCACTAGAAGGATGTACTGTAAATGTTTATGGTTTTCAGAGAAAAAAATATCAGGAAAAGGTCATTTATATTTCATCTTTTCAATTTTAAAAAGTGATAACATAAGATTTTCTGCCACTTTAGTATATGTGTTTATTGTTTTACATCGTGCCAACCAATATGAATGTGAAGTGTTGCTGTTACAGTGGATTCCCGTTCTTTTTCCGACCAGGACGCATCCTTGATATCATCCGGTCGGGCGAGAGAAACTCTCACAGGTTAACAGGAAGTGATGAAGACGTACGACAAAGACCTTGAATCTGTCTTTTCTGTCAGACTCCAGTGTGAATAACAGCCAGGCAGTGATGTCACAGAGGGCATCTGGGAACCAGGCCAGGAAAACTGGTCAAGGAAAGGGTCAAGAGAGTGTTCTGCTGAGTCAGGGTTTCCCCCTCCCCCCTTCTCTTGTTTAGATGGCGGACTGACCGGTGTCCATTCACAAGGGCCATCATCGCACACCCCGAACCGCTTAAAAACAAGCTGCCACGGGGGAGGGGGGGGATTCTGACGAGGTCACTGATCACAGCTCTGACTGCTTCCTGGGTCAAAGGTCGCTGGGCAGGAAGGAGGGAGAGGTTGATGGTGGCAGAGGAGGGTGGCTGTCAGGAGAGGGCGTATGAGGATAACGCGCGCGCGCACACACACACACACACACACACACACACACACACACACACACACACACACACACACACACACACACACGGGACTTTCGATGAAACATAAAAGCAGTGGAAAAAAACATGTTTTGCATCACAGTAGGAAGTGGTGGAAAAAAGCATGGTTTTAATATACAGTTACACTAAATATTATAAAATATTTTATTAGTAAAAAAAAACAATCCATGTTGAATTAACCTTCGCCTGGTTAGACAGAAGTTGTTGAATAACTCAGTAAGAGAAATATCACATGACAGCAGCTGGCAGATGGCTTGCAGCATGCTTTGCTTTTGTGTCTCAGTTCACTCGAGTTGGTTCATGAATATTTATCACGAATATGCTCGGACGGACACGGGGTTATGCACACACACACACACACACACACACACACACACACACACAC